CTGAAGATACTCAGACTGTACTCTGAAGATACTCAGACTAGACTCTGAGATACTCAGACTGTACTCTGGAGGATACTCTTAAGATACTCAGACTGTACTCTGGAGATACTCAGACTATATTCTGAAGATACTCAGACTGTACTCTGAAGATACTCAGACCTGTACTCTGAAGATACTCAGACTATATTCTGAAGATACTCAGACTGTACTCTGAGATACTCTTAAGATACTCAGACTGTACTCTTGGAAATACTCAGACTATATTCTGAAGATACTCAGACTATACTCTGAAGATCTCAGACTGTACTCTGAAGATACTCAGACTGTACTCTGAAGATACTCAGACTATATTCTGAAGATACTCAGACTGTACTCTGGAGATACTCAGACTATATTCTGAAGATACTCAGACTGTACTCTGGAGATACTCAGACTGTACTCTGGAGATACTCAGACTATATTCTGAAGATACTCAGACTGTACTCTGGAGATACTCAGACTATATTCTGAAGATACTCAGACTGTACTCTGGAGATACTCTTAAGATACTCAGACTGTACTCTGGAGATACTCAGACTATATTCTGAAGATACTCAGACTGTACTCTGAAGATACTCAGACTGTACTCTGAAGATACTCAGACTATATTCTGAAGATACTCAGACTGTACTCTGGAGATACTCTTAAGATACTCAGACTGTACTCCGGAAATACTCAGACTATATTCTGAAGATACTCAGACTATACTCTGAAGATACTCAGACTGTACTCTGAAGATACTCAGACTGTACTCTGGAGATACTCTTAAGATACTCAGACTGTACTCTGAAGATACTCAGACTATATTCTGAAGATACTCAGACTGTACTCTGAAGATACTCAGACTGTACTCTGGAGATACTCAGACTGTACTCTGGAGATACTCTTAAGATACTCAGACTGTACTCTGGAAATACTCAGACTATATTCTGAAGATACTCAGACTATACTCTGGAGATACTCAGACTATATTCTGAAGATACTCAGACTGTACTCTGAAGATACTCAGACTGTACTCTGGAGATACTCTTAAGATACTCAGACTGTACTCTGGAGAAACTCTTAAGATACTCAGACTGTACTCTGGAGATACTCAGACTGTACTCTGGAGATACTCAGACTGTACTCTGGAGATACTCTTAAGATACTCAGACTGTACTCTGGAAATACTCAGACTATATTCTGAAGATACTCAGACTATACTCTGGAGATACTCAGACTATATTCTGAAGATACTCAGACTGTACTCTGAACATACTCAGACTGTACTCTGAAGATACTCAGACTGTACTTTGAAGATACTCTGGAGAAACTCTTAAGATACTCAGACTGTACTCTGGAGATACTCAGACTGTACTCTGGAGATACTCTTAAGATACTCAGACTGTACTCTGGAGAAACTCTTAAGATACTCAGACTATATTCTGAAGATACTCAGACTATACTCTGGAGAAACTCAGACTGTACTCTGAAGATACTCAGACTGTACTCTGAAGATACTCAGACTGTACTCTGGAGATACTTTTAAGATACTCAGACTGTACTCTGGAAATACTCAGACTATACTCTGGAGAAACTCAGACTGTACTCTGAAGATACTCAGACTGTACTCTGAAGATACTCAGACTGTACTCTGGAGATACTTTTAAGATACTCAGACTGTACTCTGGAAATACTCAGACTATATTCTGAAGATACTCAGACTGTACTCTGAAGATACTCAGACTGTACTCTGGAGATACTCAGACTATATTCTGAAGATACTTAGACTGTACTCTGAAGATACTCAGACTGTACTCTGGAGATACTCAGACTGTACTCTGGAGAAACTCTTAAGATACTCAGACTGTACTCTGGAGATACTCAGACTGTACTCTGGAGATACTCAGACTGTACTCTGGAGATACTCTTAAGATACTCAGACTGTACTCTGGAGATACTCAGTCTGTACTCTGGAGATACTCAGACTGTACTCTGGAGATACTCTTAAGATACTCAGACTGTACTCTGGAAATACTCAGACTATATTCTGAAGATACTCAGACTATACTCTGGAGATACTCAGACTATATTCTGAAGATACTCAGACTGTACTCTGAAGATACTCAGACTGTACTCTGGAGATACTCAGACTATATTCTGAAGATACTCTTAAGATACTCAGACTGTACTCTGGAGATACTCAGACTATATTCTGAAGATACTCAGACTGTACTCTGGAGATACTCTTAAGATACTCAGACTGTACTCTGGAAATACTCAGACTATATTCTGAAGATACTCAGACTATACTCTGGAGATACTCAGACTATATTCTGAAGATACTCAGACTGTACTCTGAAGATACTCAGACTGTACTCTGGAGATACTCAGACTATATTCTGAAGATACTCAGACTGTACTCTGAAGATACTCAGACTGTACTCTGGAGATACTCAGACTGTACTCTGGAGATACTCTTAAGATACTCAGACTGTACTCTGGAGAAACTCTTAAGATACTCAGACTGTACTCTGGAGATACTCAGACTGTACTCTGGAGATACTCAGACTGTACTCTGGAGATACTCTTAAGATACTCAGACTGCACTCTGGAGAAACTCTTAAGATACTCAGACTGTACTCTGGACATACTCAGACTGTACTCTGGAGATACTCTTAAGATACTCAGACTGTACTCTGGAAATACTCAGACTATATTCTGAAGATACTCAGACTATACTCTAGAGATACTCAGACTATATTCTGAAGATACTCAGACTGTACTCTGAAGATACTCAGACTGTACTCTGAAGATACTCAGACTGTACTCTGAAGATACTCAGACTGTACTCTGGAGATACTCAGACTATATTCTGAAGATACTCAGACTGTACTCTGGAGATACTCAGACTGTACTCTAGAGATACTCAGACTATATTCTTAAGATACTCAGACTGTACTCTGAAGATACTCAGACTGTACTCTAGAGATACTCAGACTATATTCTTAAGATACTCAGACTGTACTCTGGAGATACTCAGACTGTACTCTGAAGATACTCAGACTGTACTCTGAAGATACTCAGACTGTACTCTGAAGATACTCAGACTGTACTCTGGAGATACTCAGACTATATTCTGAAGATACTCAGACTGTACTCTGAAGATACTCAGACTGTACTCTGAAGATACTCAGACTATACTCTGAAGATACTCAGACTGTACTCTGGAGATACTCTTAAGATACTCAGACTGTACTCTGGAGATACTCAGACTATATTCTGAAGATACTCAGACTGTACTCTGAAGATACTCAGACTGTACTCTGAAGATACTCAGACTATATTCTGAAGATACTCAGACTGTACTCTGGAGATACTCTTAAGATACTCAGACTGTACTCTGGAAATACTCAGACTATATTCTGAAGATACTCAGACTATACTCTGAAGATACTCAGACTGTACTCTGAAGATACTCAGACTGTACTCTGAAGATACTCAGACTATATTCTGAAGATACTCAGACTGTACTCTGGAGATACTCAGACTATATTCTGAAGATACTCAGACTGTACTCTGGAGATACTCAGACTGTACTCTGGAGATACTCAGACTATATTCTGAAGATACTCAGACTGTACTCTGGAGATACTCAGACTATATTCTGAAGATACTCAGACTGTACTCTGGAGATACTCTTAAGATACTCAGACTGTACTCTGGAGATACTCAGACTATATTCTGAAGATACTCAGACTGTACTCTGAAGATACTCAGACTGTACTCTGGAGATACTCAGACTGTACTCTGGAGATACTCTTAAGATACTCAGACTGTACTCTGGAAATACTCAGACTATATTCTGAAGATACTCAGACTATACTCTGGAGATACTCAGACTATATTCTGAAGATACTCAGACTGTACTCTGAAGATACTCAGACTGTACTCTGAAGATACTCAGACTATATTCTGAAGATACTCAGACTGTACTCTGGAGATACTCTTAAGATACTCAGACTGTACTCTGGAAATACTCAGACTATATTCTGAAGATACTCAGACTATACTCTGGAGATACTCAGACTATATTCTGAAGATACTCAGACTGTACTCTGAAGATACTCAGACTGTACTCTGGAGATACTCTTAAGATACTCAGACTGTACTCTGGAAATACTCAGACTATATTCTGAAGATACTCAGACTATACTCTGGAGATACTCAGACTGTATTCTGAAGATACTCAGACTGTACTCTGAAGATACTCAGACTGTACTCTGAAGATACTCAGACTGTACTCTGGAGATACTCAGACTGTACTCTGGAGATACTCAGACTGTACTCTGAAGATACTCTTAAGATACTCAGACTGTACTCTGGAAATACTCAGACTATATTCTGAAGATACTCAGACTATACTCTGGAGATACTCAGACTATATTCTGAAGATACTCAGACTGTACTCTGAAGATACTCAGACTGTACTCTGAAGATACTCAGACTATATTCTGGAGATACTCTTAAGATACTCAGACTATACTCTGGAGATACTCTTAAGATACTCAGACTGTACTCTGGAAATACTCAGACTATATTCTGAAGATACTCAGACTATACTCTGGAGATACTCTTAAGATACTCAGACTGTACTCTGGAAATACTCAGACTATACTCTGGAGATACTCAGACTATACTCTGGAGATACTCTTAAGATACTCAGACTATACTCTGGAGATACTCTTAAGATACTCAGACTGTACTCTGAAGATACTCAGATTGTACTCTGAAGATACTCAGACTGTACTCTGAAGATACTCTGAAGATACTCAGTATTTACTCTGAATGTACTCAGAATATACCCTTGAGACCCCGTATTTAAAGCTCTGATGTAATTATACAGATGAGCTCCACAGTCCACCCCTACAGCAGGAAGTATTGTGAGAATAGTCTCCCCTGAATAGTCCCTCTGGTTTCAGAACTGCCTCCAGGCCCGCCTGCTGGACCTGGTGTCCTCCGTGTGGTTTGAGGTCCTGGTGGTGGTGGTGATCTGCATGAACCTGGTCCTGTTGTCCCTGATGAGTGAAGAGTATCACACTGAGGAAGTTATTGAGTATCTGTACCTGTTGGTCCTGGTTCTCTACCTGCTGGAGTTCATCCTGAAGGTCACTGCGCTCAGAAAACACTATTTCACCAACGCCCTCAACGTGCTGGACTTCCTGGTGCTGGTTGTGTCCATCACAGGTGAGTCTCACTCTTTCTGTTTCACTCCATGTCTCTCACTGTGTCTCACTCTTTCTGTTTCACTCCATGTCTCTCACTGTGTCTCACTCTTTCTGTCTCACTCCATGTCTCTCTCTGTGTCTCACTCTGTGTCTCACTCTTTCTGTTTCACTCCATGTCTCTCACTGTGTCACACTCTTTCTGTCTCACTCCATGTCTCTCTCTGTGTCTCACTCTGTGTCTCACTCTTTCTGTTTCACTCCATGTCTCTCACTGTGTCACACTCTTTCTGTTTCACTCCATGTCTCTCTCTGTGTCTCACTCTCTGTCTCACTCTTTCTGTTTCACTCCATGTCTCTCACTCTTTCTGTTTCACTCCATGTCTCTCTCTGTGTCTCACTCTGTGTCTCACTCTTTCTGTTTCACTCCATGTCTCTCTCTGTGTCTCACTCTGTGTCTCACTCTTTCTGTTTCACTCCATGTCTCTCACTGTGTCTCACTCTTTCTGTTTCACTCCATGTCTCTCACTGTGTCTCACTCTTTCTGTTTCACTCCATGTCTCTCACTGTGTCTCACTCTTTCTGTCTCACTCCATGTCTCTCTCTGTGTCTCACTCTTTCTGTCTCACTCCATGTCTCTCTCTGTGTCTCACTCTTTCTGTCTCACTCCATGTCTCTCTCTGTGTCTCACTCTTTCTGTCTCACTCCATGTCTCTCTCTGTGTCTCACTCTGTGTCTCACTTTTTCTGTTTCACTCCATGTCTCTCACTGTGTCTCACTCTTTCTGTTTCACTCCATGTCTCTCACTGTGTCTCACTCTTTCTGTCTCACTCCATGTCTCTCTCTGTGTCTCACTCTTTCTGTCTCACTCCATGTCTCTCTCTGTGTCTCACTCTGTGTCTCACTTTTTCTGTTTCACTCCATGTCTCTCACTGTGTCTCACTCTTTCTGTTTCACTCCATGTCTCTCACTGTGTCTCACTCTTTCTGTCTCACTCCATGTCTCTCTCTGTGTCTCACTCTTCAGGTCTCTTCATTACGGATATTTTGACAATTTATTTCTGCTCTCCCCCGACCATCCTCCTGCTGCGAGTGACTCATGTTTTCCGTGTCCTCTGCTGGGATCCGAGTATCAGGAAGCTGCTTTTGTCCTTCATGATGTCACTTCCTGCCCTGTTGAACCTCGGCCTCCTCTTCCTCTTCCTCATCTTCACGTCCTCCATCTTCGGCATGTTGAGCTTCCCCTTCGTGAGGAAGCAGGGGATGATGGACGACATGGTTAACTTCGAGACGTTTGGCAGCAGCCTGATCTGTGTGTTGATGATCTCCTCTTCTGCTTCGTGGGGGGGTATGCTGGGTCCCTTAATGAAGACTTCACCTGACTGTGACCCCGACACCCTGAACCCGGGATCCTTCATCCGAGGAGACTGTGGCTCCCCGGGCCTCGCCATCGTCTTCTTCATCGTAAACATCTACCTGGGCTACCTGCTGGTGGTCAACATGTACATCGCCGTCATCCTGGAGGTCTTCGGCCCCGAGGAGAACCAAACGCTGAGCGACCAACACCTCCAGAACTTCTGCAAAACCTGGAGGAAGTTCGACCCAGAGAGCTCGCAGTTCATTAAGTACAGGTGAGTCTAAGTTCGGAGTACAGGTGAGTCTAAGTTTACAGTACAGGTGAGTCTAAGTTTACAGGTTGTCTAAGTTTACAGGTGAGTCTAAGTTTACAGTACAGGTGAGTCTAAGTTTACAAGTGAGTCTAAGTTTACAGTACAGGTGAGTCTAAGTTTACAGGTTGTCTAAGTTTACAGGTGAGTCTAAGTTTACAGTACAGGTGAGTCTAAGTTTACAGTACAGGTGAGTCTAAGTTTACAGGTTGTCTAAGTTTACAGGTGATTCTAAGTTTACAGTACAGGTGAGTCTAAGTTTACAGTACAGGTGATTCTAAGTTTACTACGGTGGCCCTGAAGTGCAAGACACCACAGCATTTCAGAAAACGCCACAGCATTTCAGAAAACACTAGAGCATTTCAACTTATACGGAAAGGGTATTCCTTTAGGAACACTTCTTGTTTTTGATTGGACAGAGCCAGCCAGAGAAGCACTGCTGTGATTGGTTGTTTTTGCTGCCAGTCAAGAAATGACGCTTCGTGATTGGTCAGCACCCGACAGCGCAACATGTCCCAAAACATCAGCCGTTAGCTGTTAGCACTCAGAGCTCACAGCTCCTCATATCTGTTCAGAAACTGGACAAAAGATAAACAAGTACAAAAAACAGACTGTCTGTGTGGGTAGTCTACCATAGTATTTACATGGTAAAATAAACAGCAACAAAACTGAGCTCATCATTGTGGCTCCCAAGGCGCAGCTCCAGAAGGTTGGTGACCTGCTTCTCACCATTGACGGCTGCTCCATCTCCCCGTCCACTGAAGTCCGCAACCTGGGAGTCATCCTGGACTCCACCCTCTCTTTCCAGGCGCATATCAAATCCATGACCAAATCCGCCTTCTACCATCTCAAAAACATTGCCAGACTCCGCCCCTCACTCTCTGACTCTGTGGCAGAAACACTCATACACGCCTTCATCACATCCCGTCTGGACTACTGCAATGGAGTCCTGTCCGGGGTTCCCAGCAAAACCCTGGCCAGGCTCCAAAGCGTCCAGAACTCTGCCGCCAGGCTTCTCACCCGCACTAAGCCATGGCAACATATCACCCCCACCCTCATCCACCTCCACTGGCTGCCGGTCAAGTCCCGGATTCACTACAAAACACTCCTCCTCACGTACAAGTCCCTCCATACCCTCGCCCCCCAGTACTTAACAGACCTCCTACATCCCTACACCCCCTCTCGGAGTCTGCGGTCCTCAGACACGGGCCTGCTCTCCATCCCCCGCTCTCGCCTTCGTACTGTGGGTGACAGGGCGTTCAGTGTTGTGGCCCCCATCCTCTGGAATGCACTTCCTCCTGAGATCCGGAACGCTGCCTCACTGGACATCTTCAAATCCTCACTGAAAACTCACCTGTTCACCGTGGCCTTCGGACCCTAGTCCTTTCCTGGTCCCCTTGCTTCCTTTACTTTATTTTACTTTGTTCTTGTTTTGTTCGCTCCTCATTGTCTGTTTTGTTTTGTCTGTCCACCATGTACAGCGACCTTGGGTCCCGTGAAAGGCGCTTTATAAATTCCATTTATTATTATTAGGGTCTGAGACCTAGGTCGGCGAAGACCCTATTGCGCGACCGATAAACCTTTGACCCCCGCAACATATGTGAAAACTCACCAAATTTTGCACGCGCGTCAGAATTGGTGCAACTTCAGATGTGTAATTGGTTCCGGAACTTTGTGTCAAAAATTGCGTAGGCCACGCCCACTTCCGTTTTTAAACGTAAACTCCCCCCACTTTAACTTTCACGTAAACGAACAAAACTCGCTACGCATATCTAGGGTGCGGAGACAAACCAAAAAGCCTCTTGGAGGGGTATAAAATAACGTACAGGAAGCCGGCCATTTTGAATTTGGCGTCGGAAAAACACGATTTATCGCGTTTTTCGTCCTCCGCACGAAATCTATCTTCTCCCAGGGACTTTATCCGTACGACTCGAAATTCGTCGGGTAGTGTCTCGAGACATGGGCAATTCAAAGTTATCACGGAAGTTTTTTTCTTTCGCACGGCGTAGCCGTGAATTTGCGCCAAAGTTCGCGCGTTCGCTCGATGCTAGGCGATCCCTCGCCATGGAACACGATGATGTCATAACGCCAACTGACATACTCAGAACGCCACCAAACTTCACATGATGGTTAACACTGCGGCCCTGAACAGCTCTACGTCAAATTTGATGTTACTTAATATGGCGTTCCCATCGTCCCCCAATCTTCACTTTTATATCACCGGTCCATGCCTCAATAGCTCTACGTGAAATCTGAGATCTCACCGTATCCCGTTTCCATGGCAACGCATCCCTCGCCATGAAACACAATGTTGTCTTAAGTCAATGGAAAATGGTCCAAACTGCACCACACTTCAGATGATGGCTAATGGTCCGGCCCTCAACAGCTCTATGCCAATTATGGGATGTCATCATATGCCGTTTCCATGGCAACGCATCCCTCACCATAAAACACGGTGTCGCTGTAACTCCAATGGACACGGTCCCATCGTCCCCCAATCTTCACTTTTATATCACCGGCACCAGACTTCAGATGATGGCTAATGGTCCGGCCCTGAACAGCTCTACTCCAATTATGGGATGTCATCATATGCCATTGCCATGGTGACAGATCCCTCGCCATGAAACACAGTGTTGTCATAACTCGATGGAAAATGGTCCAAACTGCACCAGACTTCAGATGACAGTTAATGGTCCGGCCCTCAACACCTCAATATGACAATAGTGAGTTTTCCTCAAAAGATGTTGCCATGGCAACGCATCCCTTGCCGTTAAGCACGATATTGCTATAACTCCTGTGTAAATGGTAAAAAAGTGGTCAAATTTCCCATGTGTGCTAACCGTCAAGCCCTCAACACATATATGTGTCAGTTTTGAGATTTCGTCAAATGTCGTTGCTATGGTAACAAAATGGTCGCCGTGAAACACGGTTTTCTCATAACTCCAGTTAACATGCTCCAAACGGCCCAAAACTTCACAGGTTTGATAACTATGCAGCCCTCAACACATCTAGGCATATTATGGGGTGTCATCAAATTCCGTTGCCATGGCAACAGATCACTCGCCATCAAACACAATGTTTATGATACTGCTGTAACTCCCATGCACGTTGTCCGATCGGCCTGAAACTTCCCACGTTTGCCAACGGCCTTGAGACACCTAGACACACACGTCGACGTGCGGACAACAGCCTGCGGAGCGTCGAAGACCCGCTCAACGCTGCTTGCAGCTTTAATTATTATTATTATTACATGGAGATAAGCCTCTTAAAAACCATGAATGAATAAAGCATTAATTCATGGTGTTTTCGCATCTCTCTAATCGCTCGAGTTTCACCGCAGCTGTCAGTGTCCTGTCACTCAAACAAGACGTGCTGGAGAGGGGGCGGGTCCATCAGGCTAAGCTAACCTGTAGCTGCTCCGTCCACACTCACAACAGCGTCATACAGACATAAATAAAGCAGCGACTGTATTCACCATGACATATGCCCTTTCTCATTTCAAATATTTCCCCTCCTCGACTCCTCAGCCTCGTCTCAATACCCCTCCTCGACTCCTCAGCCTCGTCTCAATACCCCTCCTCGACTCCTCAGCCTCGTCTCAATACCCCTCCTCGACTCCTCCTTTCCCTCACTCGCGTCCCTTCCTTGCGTCTTAGCTCCGCCTCCGTAAGATGCGAGCGAGAGACACGAGGAGGTGACGCGAGGACAGAGGAGTCCTCAGGTATTAATTGGGATGTCCTCGTTCACTCAAACGTCACTCTTAAACGACGTCTGTTAATGATGACATGTGCACAGCTGTATCCCCTCTCATCGGGCTTAACTGAATAACCTTTAGAACCGGCCCATTTGTTGTTAAATATTTATTTAAATGATGAATCTTTCTCTTGTTAGTCAAGGAATTCAATGTATGATGGTTGGTCCTGCTTTTGTGTTCCGTTTTGGGACATGTTGCGACATTTCTTGACTGGCAGCAAAAACAACCAATCACAGCAGTGCTTATCTGGCTGGCTCTGTCCAATCACAAACAAGAAGTGTTCTCCCTAAAGGAATACCCTTTCCATCCATTGTGAAATGCTGTGGTGTTTTGTGAAATGCTGTTGTGTTTTGTGAAATGCTGTTGTGTTTTGTGAAATGCTGTAGTGTTTTGTGAAATGCTGTAGTGTTTTGTGAAATGCTGTAGTGTTTTGTGAAATGCTGTTGTGTTTTGTGAAATGCTGTAGTGTTTTGTGAAATGCTGTAGTGTTTAGTGAAATGCTGTAGTGTCTTGTGAAATGCTGTGGTGTCTTGTGAAATGCTGTGGCGTTTTGTGAAATGCTGTGGTGTCTTGCACTTCAGGGTCACCGTAGTTTACAGTACAGGTGAGTCTTTATAATAATAATATATCAATCAATCACACATATATTAATTTGCGTTGTTGGAGGAGCTCAGGAAGTTTTTTATTTCTTCTTCTCTTCAGTGCATATGAAGCCTTTGAATGTTGGTATAGAGCAATGTGACATATAATGCATTTTACTTTGTGGATTATACAATATTATTTGATTTGAACTATAAATCAAATCAATCAAGTGTCTCTAAACTAATATCACCTGTCTCTCCGCAGCGAGCTGTCAGATTTCTGCGACGCTCTGCAGGATCCTCTCAGGATTCCCAAACCAAACAGCCTCCGACTTACGAGCATGGACCTTCCTCTGCAGGCCGGAGACCAGATGCTCTGCCAGGACGTCCTGCTGGCCCTCGCTGCACAGGTAACACTTGTATTATTATTATGAGGGTCTGAGACCAGATGCTCTGCCAGGACGTCCTGCTGGCCCTCGCTGCACAGGTAACACTTGTATTATTATTATGAGGGTCTGAGACCAGATGCTCTGCCAGGACGTCCTGCTGGCCCTCGCTGGTAACACTGTTATTATTATGAGGGTCTGAGACCAGATGCTCTGCCAGGACGTCCTGCTGGCCCTCACAGGTAACACTGTTATTATTATGAGGGTCTGAGACCAGATGCTCTGCCAGGACGTCCTGCTGGCCCTCGCTGCACAGGTAACACTGTTATTATTATGAGGGTCTGAGACCAGATGCTCTGCCAGGACATCCTGCTGGCCCTCGCTGCACAGGTAACACTTTTATTATTATTATGAGGGTCTGAGACCAGATGCTCTGCCAGGACGTCCTGCTGGCCCTCGCTGCACAGGTAACACTTTTATTATTATTATTATGAGGGTCTGAGACCAGATGCTCTGCCAGAACGTCCTGCTGGCCCTCGCTGCACAGGTAACACTTGTATTATTATTATTATGAGGGTCTGAGACCAGATGCTCTGCCAGGACGTCCTGCTGGCCCTCGCTGCACAGGTAACACTTGTATTATTATTATTATGAGGGTCTGAGACCAGATGCTCTGCCAGGACGTCCTGCTGGCCCTCGCTGGTAACACTTTTATTATTATGAGGATCTGAGACCAGATGCTCTGCCAGGACGTCCTGCTGGCCCTCTCAGGTAACTCTCTTTTCAATGCAAGTGATAGGAGCAGCTTATCACCTGAATCTCCTCCTAGAGCACCATTGTGTTATTTTGATCCAAATGTCTCTCAGAGGGGCGTGGGGAGGGGCTCCTTATTTTCATCTAAAGTAACAGACAGAGAATCAGCACTTTGGAAACAGGGCTGAAACAGAGGGTATTATGGGATGCTGCAATGATCTGTTTGGTGTTTCAGCCAATCAGAGACAGGCTCTGGATATATCTGAGACCTGGGATATATTGATGAAGAGGAGGATAATAGGAGAGCTTTAAAGAAACCCCCTTTGAGAGGAGGACACTGGAGGGAAAGCAGCATGGATCCAGACAGATGTGAGTGACTTAAATCAAATCAAATCAAATCAAGTTTTATTTATATAGCACATTTTTAAACTATTTTTGGTCGAGCCAAAGTGCTGTACATATAATAAAAATACCCTACAGTAAAGACACTTTACAGCAAATACAACAGCAGTTTGTACAGAATATCAGTATGAGAAAACAACACCCTCTGTCCTCAGACCCTCTGTCCTTAGACCCTCTGTCCTTAGACCCTCTGTCCTTAGACCCTCTGTCCTTAGACCCTCACATCGTACAAGGAAACACTTCCAGAGAAACCCCACAGTTTAAAGGAACATGGGAGAAACCTCAGGGAGAGCACCAGAGGAGGGATCCCTCTCCCAGGACGGACAGACGTGCAATAGATGCCGTGTGTAAATCAAAGAGATAATACATTTTACACCGTAGGTAGACCGAATGTTTGGAAATGCATGTGTCTATAATAAGAAGATGAATCCACGAGGATGTCAAGAACAATCCTGTGGGAGCCATCAGGGAAGTAGTATGATGAGACCCAGGCAGGACCGCAGAGACAGGCCCAGCCACGACCCGAAGTCCACGACTTAGTCCAGAACTCAGGATAGAGGATCCAGGACACAGGACCACAGCAAGAGGATCAGCCTCCACTCAGGATCCCGGCGTAGATATAGACACAGAGGGGGAGGCTGGGTTAATCTGAACATGAGAATACACAGACACAGACAGACAGGAGGAAGAACAAGCACTCCCTTAGGATAGGTTGAGGGGAAAGGGTAGCAAGTAAGAGAGTAAGAAACAGAGAGGCACACGCAGGGAGCAAGGTCCCACTGGAGGGAGCAAGGGCCCACTGGAGCCTTAGTTGGAATTGGTGAGAGGTAGGGAGGAAGCTGTGAATACGGCATAACACTCCCCGGCCTGGATAAGCTTCTCTGCAAACCTGTTTCCCTCTAATAAAACCTGGAGAGGTCAGAGAGGGAAAAGGGTTTGGATAAAGAGAGGATAGAAAGAATCGATTACAGGAGTAGAGAGTATGAGAAGTAGAGAGAGACAAGATTTAGAAGAATGAGTAGTAGTAATAACCTTAGTTTTAAATATAAGATCCAAGTTTTTAGGATTTAAGTGAAAGAGCAAGAACCCAAACGTAGGTGAAGAGGCACAGCGTATCTACGTCAATGCAGTCTCATTAGATTATTATATCAGCTATAAGCTTTATCAAAAAGGAAGGTCGTAAGCGTACTCTTAAAACGGATAGGCTGTCGGCCACCCGAACACAAACTGGAAGCTGATTCCACAAAAGTGGAGCTAGATAAGAAAAGACTAGAAGGCCAGAGAGAAGAAGTGAGTTTTAAGAGTAGATTTAAAACCCCCTAGGGTCTGGGCCGACCTCACATGGAGGGGCAGAGTGTTCCAGAGCCTAGGGCCAGCTGCTGCGAAGGCTCGGTGCCCTCAGGTTTTGAGCCTGGTCTTGGGCACTACCAGCAGCAGCTGGTCAGCAGACCTTAAAGCTCTGGCTGGGGTGTAGCGCTGGAGGAGTTCAGCTATATAGGCCGGAGCCAGCCCATTTAGTGCTTTAAAAACAAATAAAAGGATTTAAAAATCTATTCTGAACCGAACTGGAAGCCAGTGCAGTGAGGCCAGAATAGGGGTGATGTGGTCGCGCTTTTTGTGGCCAGTCAGAAGACGTGCAGCTGCGTTTTGGACTAGCTGCAGACGTCTAATTGAGGCCTGGTCCATACCCACGTACAGAGCGTTGCAGTAATCCAGTCTCGAGGTTACAAAGGCGTTAATAACCCTTTCTAAGTCATTAAAAGATAAAAACGACTTGGTCTTGGCCAATAGTCTTATTTAAAAAAAGCAGGTCTTGACTACGGTGCTGACCTGCTTATCAAATTTAAAAGCGCTATTGAAGGTCACTCCAAGGTTCATGACCGAGGGAAGGATGTTTTTATTGAGGGAGCCCAGAATATCAACCGGAGAGGCTGGAGGTTGCGGTCCAAAAAAGATGTCCTCAGTCTTGCTCTCGTTGAGGTTGAGGAAGTTTTGGCTCAGCCAGGATTTGATCTCTGTTAAGCAGTCCATCAACTGCTGTAATGAGTTGACATTTTGATTGAGAGGCAGATAGATCTGTACATCGTCGGCGTAGCAGTGGAAGGGAATATTATGTTTTGTGAGAATTGAACCTAGGGGCAGTATGTACAGTAGAAAAAGGATGGGGCCCAGGATCGAGCCTTGGGGAACCCCACAGGTAAGAGGGGCTTTAGCAGAGGAGAAGGTACCTAGCTGCACTGAGAAGCTACGGTCTGTCAGGTAGGACCTGAACCATGCAAGGGCAGAGCCTGTGATGCCAGCGGACTGTTCAAGCCGTGACAACAGGATGCTATGGTCCACAGTGTCAAAGGCAGACACTTAAAGCACATGTCAGAACAAACTAAAAAGCATGAACAAACTAGAGTCCACATGGATGATGCTATGCAACTAGCCATGTCAAGGAAAGTAAACACAGCTGTCCAATGAGAGTGCAGGACAGGGATCAGTGAGCATAATAAGGAGGTTGACAAAAACAGGCCCTAAAATAATAGACTGTATCAAGTGCTGTGTGCCTTTGAGCTAGCCCTGCGTTGTAATATGGTACACACATGCAGCTGCTTTGCCTGATGCTCACTGCCAATGTCTTCACCTCTTCTACAGTGTGCATTGCCATGAAGGAATGAATGGATGAATGATTGAATGGATGAATGTTCTATATTATCAGAGTTGGGTGTAACGCGTTACAAAGTAACTGTAATAATATTACTTTTGTCGGTAACGGAGTAGTGTAACGCGTTACTTTTATAATTCAGTAATCACACTACAGTTACTAACATTGCCCCGACACGCGTTACTTCGTTACTTTTATAAAATCAGTCATAATCACACTGACAGACAAGAGGGGTTTCCGCCGCAGGTTTATATGTACGTAATCTGCGCGACTTGCGCGTCCACATCTCCACGTGCAGTGCTGCATAAACATGGCTGAGTCAGCGATAACTTTCGAGGGGTGGAGGTCTGCCCATTATTTTGAGTTCGTCCGAAGAATAGATGCGTGATCTGCCTGTAGGGAGGGGCGGGCCGGCCCTGCGAGTAAAGTAACGAGTAAAGTAACGAGTAAAGTAACGAGTAAAGTAAAGTAACGAGTAAAGTAACGAGTAAAGTAAAGTAACGAGTAAAGTAACGAGTAAAGTAAAGTAACGAGTAAAGTAACGAGTAAAGTAAAGTAACGAGTAAAGTAACGAGTAAAGTAAAGTAACGAGTAAAGTAACGAGTAAAGTAACGAGTAAAGTAACGAGTTACTTTATGTAGAGAGTAACGAAGTAGTGTAATATATTACTTTTTTTTAAAGTAATATGTAGGGGCAGACCAGGTGCACCTGCGCAGCAGGGAGACAGAAAATAAAACAAGAAGGGCAGCACGTAACACATGTCTACACAGACATCCACTCAAAGTCAACCATTGTTCTGAAGAATGTGCTGACATGGGGTTTGAATGGCCATGCCTCTTTTTGGCTTTCGAGCCCATCTCAGGAAGTACCTGAAAACAATAAGCCAAGACAACAATTTCAATTTTACATAGATTTATATGTTGCATCGTTTATTTGAAGGCACATGCAGCGGTGCCCCTTTCAATTGAAGTAAAACCTGCACCAAAGAAAGAAATTAGTATTTAAGCCAAGCAAGAGCGATAAAAGCAAAAAAAATCCCATGTGTTGTGTTATCACAGAGGATGGTCTGAAGACAGTATTTTACAGTAACATGTTGTGTTATCACAGAGGATGGTCTGAAGACAGTATTTTACAGTAACATGTTGTGTTATCACAGAGGATGGTCTGAAGACAGTATTTTACTGTAACATGTTGTGTTATCACAGAGGATGGTCTGAAG